CATAAGTTAATATTTTTGGCGTCGGTGATGTTCTTGTTTAACCATATAGTATTCTAGTCCTATATTATACCTATTCAATGTTTATTTTGTGATTTTTTTTGTTTTTTCACCTATATTATACATGTATGTATAAGTATATGTATTGTGTAGTGTATTTTAAATGACTACCTATTTTATATATTATCTAATGAATGACTTATCCTATCTACTTATTGTAGCACAAAGGACTAATAAAATCTATCTATCTATCTATAATGTCAACAATCAATATGGGCGGGCTATGTCCCAAGCATTACCGTATGGAGGATTTGAATGAACCGAAACTAATCTTGATGTTACAACCGTTGCTGATGATGCAGGTGAAGGGTATATATTGGAAGTTGACTTAGAATACCCACGACGCCTTCATGATTTCCACAAAGACCTACCTTTCTGCTCAAAACACATCAATCCAAAAACTATAAAACCTCCAATGAGGTCTACTCAACTTACCAAACTGATGGCTACGTTGAATAATAAGGGGAAGTACGTCATCCACTACCGAAACCTCAAACAAGCGCTGGAGCATGGGATGGTCCTGACCAAAATTCATCGTGTGCTCAAATTTCAGCAATCTACATGACTCAAATCATATATTGATCTGAATACGAGTTTGAGGAAGGCTGCTAGATTCGAGAAAAATTAATTCAAGTTGATGAATAACGCTGTCTTTGGAAAGACTATGGATAACATCAGGAAGAGGGTGAACGTTAGGCTTCTAACGGAGTGGGCTGGGAGATATGGCGCCGAGGCGTACATTTCTGAACCTGAATTCAAGGACTGTACCATTTTAAGCGAGAACTTGGCAGCAGTCGAACTCGGGAAATTGGAAATCTGGTTGAACAAGCCTATTTACGTTGGTCAGGCCATTCTCGATCTTGCCAAGACCACCATCTACGGCTTCCATTATGATTATATGCTCGGAGAGTTTGGTGATGATTGCCTGCTTTTTACACCGACACAGACTCGCTTATACAGGGTGTATCTAAATAACGCCGCAAAAATTCAAGGGATGATTCCTTGTGATATTCTAGCAAATAAAGTTCATATAAACATGTATCCTAACTTGCTCCGTTTTTGAGATACAGGATGTTGATGTTGGAAGTATTAATAGTTTTTATTTGTAACCCCCCTGTATAAACTTTCATGGTGTCAAAAGTCAGCATGATTGGAGACTGAGTAAGCCCCATAATTTTAAAATGATTATTGGGGTTATTGAGTAATCTCAATGGAAGTCTTGAGTACACCTACATTAAATTTGGAGTCAAATCAAATGTTTATTGTTTTCTCAAAAACTAAGCTAGATACAAAAATCACACAAAGTTTTGAAAAGTTGTTATTCAAATAGTTCAATCTAATAAAAATATGAAACTCAAAAAAACCGGTGGCGTACAATGACATTCACCATAAATATCGATGAATTTACCCACTGTGACGCCACTGGAAATATTATTTCGAATCTAATTGCTCCACGAGAAGCTCCATGTTACTATAAACAAAACTACAACGTTTTATTGAGATTGATAAAAAGACAATTGAGTAATGAATAAAAGAACGATCTTCCATGGAAATATTAATACCCTGTATCTCGAAAACGAAGCAAGTCAGGACGCATGTTCATATGAACTTTACTTCCTAAAATATCACAAGGAATCAGCCCTTGAATTTTTTCGGTGTTATTTAGATACACCTTGTATATGAGATTACCAATCAAGATCCATATGCAGTCATGAAGCGAGATTGCCACACCCACTTTGATACTTCAGACTATTCTAGAGATTGCATTCATGGCATTCTACAGGTCGAACAGAATGTGTTGGGAATGATGAAAGATAAGAAAAGATCTGTCATAATGACGGACTATGAAGGTCTTCGATCCAAATTATACTAGATGAAGGTGCTGGTAACTGATGATGATATTGAAAAAGAGAGGAAGAAGTTACAGGAGGACGATTATGAAGACGACATCAATGAAATCATTATGAATATCTGTGTGATGAAGAGAGCTAAAGGGGTGAAATCATTTGTTTTGAAACAACTTTTACTTTGAACGATTATGTCGAATGCCTGGATACAGCCAAACATAAGAATGTTTCCCAAAATCCAATAAGAGCGAAGAAGCACCATGTTCATCCAATCTGTCGAGAAAAAATCGCCTTGAGCTTCGAAGATGATAAGAGGTTGTAACGTGAACTTTGTTCTGGTTACATTCATAAACTTATCTTTCCAACTGTCGCAACATTAGGCAGAAGTTTCCGCCGCCGACATCCTAGCCAGAACACAGTACATCGTTGATAATGACGAAGAAAGGTAGACTCATTTCCATATGAGACAAAAGGATGCATAGCAGCTCATAAAATTCGAACTCTGGTCAACTTTTGTCTTATAGTGGAGTCAAGTTTTTTTAAATTGTGAATACCATAAAAATAAAGTTTTTGTGACCCCCTACCTGGTTTTTGACTGTTTTGGGAGGTGACCTTGTAGAAAAGATTCCCAAGACTAGCTCTCTCTTTGAACAGAATGAATTTGGAAGAGAAATGAATATACCAGAGGATGGTTTATGACCTAGTTATTTGAAGCTATGGAACTGAACCCAAGGAGTTTAATCTGTGGAGTTATCCAGAAAGGCCTTGGACCTTGCTGAACAGGTTTGGTGTAAGCATCATCTCGACTGGAGATAGGCTGTTGTAATGAAGGTAAGTTATCACATTCATTCTGAACTTGAATCTGAGAATTTAATGATACTTACCTGATTGCAACAGTTTTCAATTAGTGTCGAGTGATCAGTTCCTATTGCCTATATCTAGCCATTGGTTCAAAGGAGTTCTGAATACCTTTTGGTTCAGCTCTATAAATATTCATTTCCTATACTCAACTTTTTTTTCTGATAAACGAAAGTCATCAGTAAACATTTATTGGTCAGATATTCTTGCTTCAGATTGAGAAATGCATATTGCTCACATATTCTAAGTCAGTATTTTCTTGTTCAGATAAATTTTGATTCATCAAATTGAGAGATGCATATTGCTCACATTTCTCTAAATTAATATCTTCTTGTTCAGATAAACTTTGATTCTTCAGATTGAGAAATGGAAGGTATTTCCTTCCTTTAGTATTAATATATGAATTCAATGAATGAAGTTTTATTATATTTTCGATTGACGTTCTTTATTAAACAAAATTATTGACATAGCAACATTCGTTGCGTTCGGTTTAACAAAATCGGAGCCGAGCGAGCAGATGCAGATTTGGTGTCATGTGATCACCTAGCTGATAGAGCTAAAGATATTTAACGAACGCTCAACGAGGTAGTAGCAAAGTAGAGTGCGAGCGACACCTGTCAGAAGTAACAGAAAACAGAAAGAATTCACTTAACCTTACTTCTTACTTTTGAAAACACGTCAGGGCAACAAAGTTCGTTTGAATGTTTATTGTTTACTTGGATTTATATTTTGAAAATATCGGAAGTCCTTATTAGATTAGAAATAGGCGTTACACTAATGAATGCACATCTGTTTTAAGTGTAAGTATATTAAGTAAGTATACACATAGGTGGTACATGTTTCTCAAATTTGTTTTCTTCATTTCCAGTGGAAACTATACCATAATGGAAGAAAATCTAATTATGTCCATGAACATTGTAAAAGAAATATTTTTTGAAGATAGTAGTGAGGATGAATCAGAAGTCAATGTATTGCCAAAGGTTGAAGAATTCGCAGAAGAGATTGTTCCTCGTTTCAATGATAAACAATTCAAAATGCATTTCAGAATTAATCCTGATACCTTTGAAGACCTTTTGCAGAAACTACACCATATTCAGCTTCCTGATATTGAAAGAGCTAACAGCAGAGGACATCCTCCCATTCCTATGGAAAAGCAAATGATGATCACCATTTGGTGTCTTTCAAATTTAGAGTCATTCCGGTAATGGGTAAAACTATATTCTGGATAATGTAATTATTTTTCATTTCAGTACGGTTGCTGATAGATTTGGAATTAGCAAGAGTACATGTTGGGATGTATTGTATAGGATGTGTAGGAGTCTACTCAGAATTAATTCTGAATATAAAATTATAGCCTGGCCCAACAGAATACGTGCCCGTCAAATAGTTGATCGATTTGAAACCATCAATGGCTTTCCAGGTTTGAAGCAAATTTTTTCATGTTACGTTCCTCTGAAGGCATTCTTTTCCTCTCAGGAATCATCGGAGCCATAGATGGTTGCCATATCCGAATATTGAAACCAAAAAATCATCCAAATTCATACTGTAATAGAAAGAATTTTCATTCTATCTTATTGCAAGGTGTATGTGATGATAAAATGTTGTTTTTGGATGTTTATGCAGGCGAGGCTGGATCTGTGCATGATTGGAGACTTTTTACAAGATCTGATTTGCATCAAAGAATAAATAATGGCACTGCAGATATTCCCAATGATATGCATATAATTGGAGACCTTGCATATAAATTGTCCCCTAAAATGTTAGTGGGTTTCAAGGACATTGCTGGTTTGAATATGCATCAGAAAAATTATAACTTCAAATTATCACAATGTCGTGTTGTTATTGAACATGCATTTGCATATTTAAAAGGACGATTTCGACGTTTGAAGTCATTGGAAACGATAAGACTAGATCTAATTGCTCTACTCATAATATCAGGATGCATTCTTCATAACATTTGCATTTTAAGAGGAGATTCACCTGAAGATGTCATTGACATCAGGCACGAAATTGAAGAGCAGGTAGAAAATGGCAATGGGGTGGCAGAAAACATCAATCAACTAAATGTTGCAGGAATAAATAAAAGAGATTTTATAATGCATTCTTTAGTTGTAGACCAAAGATTTGTTGAATAAATGAAAAACTTATTTTTTATCAAAACATGATTTATTCCTTAACATGAACCTTCTGCATAAAACAAAACTTATTCTAACTGTTAAAAAAAATTAGAAGTAATCAGTCAATATTGAACTCATAATATAGTGTCTGACAAGATTTCGTAGTCACTGTATTGAAATGAATCACTGAGCAGTCTATTCAATTTTTGCTCTTGTATGTTTTTACAAAATCCTCAAAGCTATCAAGGAATCTGTCCTGACGCTGCATTTTTTCTCTATGGCGGCGTTCTACAGCATTGGCTGCAATTTTTCTTTTTCTAATAAAATTTGACTCAAAAGTTTCACTAGAAGTTGAGGGGGTTGATTCACTCATGTTTTCCTTGTTTGGAGCAGAACAAGGAGATGTGGGCTCAGATTGTTGATCTGTAATTAACCCAGCATGACTACTGCAGGTGGCTGGTGCACTAATTTCAGGTTTGTTGAACAATATTTTGTGCATCTCATCATAAAATTCCCATTTTCTTCTATTTTTCCCAGATGTGGAGTTGTGGTCCTTAACATCTTTGTAGGTTTTTTTCAAAGACTTCCACTTGGTATCACACTGTTGCCATGATACACCAATGGCCATTTTTGAGTTCAGTATGGTAGAAATCTTAGTCCAAACATGTTTTTTTACAGACTTTTGAAACTGACCATCATATTCCTCTACCAGCCTTATGAGGCCAAGGGTTGCCTCTCTAGGCCACAGTTTATTTTCAGTATTCACTGTGGACGATGTGGAAGGTGTGAAAGTTGATGCACTGGATTCTGACGCCTCCTGAACCATATATGCAGTAACTGCATTCAGTGCATCACTTTCAGCTAAAAAAGAAAAGTGGATTCGAAAATTTGCTACTCATAAACTGAACTAAACTCAACTTACTAGGGAAGGAATGATTCTGTCTCATATGATCGGTCATTAACTGTGGATCAGGGCAGTTGTGATCGCATATATTACATATGTATAATATGCTACCTACTGCAACTTCGTCGGTCATTCTGGCGATTCTGGGCAAGGAGGATTCTACAAAATTCAGTTTCGTATTTCGTTTCCAGTTGATCATTTGATTTACTTTTTCGACACAAAAAAGATATATAATTTCAAAAACATGTTGTTGACATTGATTTGTTGACAACTGACAACCGAATAACCGATCAAATCCGTATGATCTGCTCCTCAAGACGGAGCAAACAGATTACATCTTTCAACTCGCTCTGACAATTAACGAACACGGAGCAGATTAGACAGAGGAAGTAGATCTGATTTATCGAACGCTCTCCGAGCTAACAGATGGAATCGAGCTAACAGATATGTTATAACCGAACGCACCTATTATATAAATTGAAATATATACAGAGTAGTGAAACCCGAACACTCACATATTCTAAGTCTATATTTTCTTGTTCAGATGAGTTTTGATTTATCAAATTGAGAGATGCATATTGCTCACATTTTCCTGAATCAATATCTTCTTGTTCAGATTATCTTTGATTCTTCAGATTATTTGAATTGATTGATTGGTTGATTGATTGAGGGAATGCATATTGCTCACATATTCTAAGTCAATATTTTCTTGCTCAGATAAATTTTGATTCATCAAATTGAGAGATGCATATTGCTCACATTTTCCTAAATTAATATCTTCATGTTCAAACAGGATGACATGAATCTACAACACATTTTTTCCGATCACGTATCTCCAGCTGTGACATTCAAACAACTTCAAGATATGTGTGCACAAAGTTGGACTAATAAATATGGATTTCTTGTTATCGATAAGGATAGTGAAATCCATGAGGGGCGGCGCTATAGAAGAGTATTCGATAACTTTATATATCTATAATATCTCAGGAGCATTCGATTAATTCAATCTCCAGAAGCGACAATGAGCACATCTAATGATAGAAAGGTTGAAATGACATCTGAAATTGACCTCAAACAAGAACTCGTTGAAGCAACCGATGCAGTGAGAAGAAAGTTCAAAAGTCTCAAGAGTGATCGTATAGGTAATCAAATAGTGCTGGTAAAGATGTACGAACCACTGATGAGACCATTGAATACAATTTCAAAAGCGGCAGCAGCAACCTCTATGAGTAATCATATTCCAGCAACGACAATGGAAAGTATCACCAAACAACGTAGACCAATCATGATGAAACCTACACTCCATTCTACACCAATGTCGGGAAATGAGTCGAATTCTATGGAAACACCTGAAAGCACAATAAAACCACATAGTTTCTTCACTGGAATTCCATCACATGAAGAAGAAGAAGGAGGAGGGGGATCTAATTATGTGACCATGATGGATACACCACCACCACCATCATCATCATCATCTTCTTCACTCATGCCATTCGATGAAACACCGACTGGCAGCAAAATCATTAGCGGATAAGATGAACAGTTGAAAGATCATTTGGAAAATTTGAAATCTAAAGATCCCAATTATGATACCACATATGGCATTCGCATTAATCCTACTACGGGAGACATGATGATGCGTAACATGAATGTTCGTTTTCCTCCTGGACAAATTGAATTATGGCGTAGCAATGAGGAGAGTGTGCCGTGTCCAGCTACATATGAATTATACAATCTCATATTCATGAAGCATGTACCAAGATCTATCGATGATCGAGATATGCTAATTCACTACAAACTACAAGGGCGCCATATGAGGATTACGATACACGTGAAGGCTTGAATGCTAGTACGAAATCAAAGTAATACCTACAAATAATCAAACCAATATTTAGCACACCACCCAACATGAGGAGTCAGAAGCGTAAAGTGAAAGGTGGTGGGGGAATGAAGCAATCAGAATCTATTGAAAAGATTGCTAGTAATCATCTGAAAGAGTACGTCTATTGGAATGGGGCTGCAGAATTAGTGGATCGCCTCCGACTATTATATGGGTCGGAAATGGCTGGTCATGCTTGACACGATAATGAAATAGTCTCAATCATTGAGGAATTACGTGAAGAAGGTATTGTGTATTGATACCATATATTACCGCAATTTAGAACAGCTAGACCATTAGTATATTAATGTGAACCAAAGAGATCGCAAGTGTTCGGAGGTTGGGAAATAGTACAATAACGGAAATAAGAGCGACCAGAAGGCAGATTGTTGATGAATCACATAAACCTGCGAGTCGCAACTTTGCGAGAAGGAGAACTATAATAAAAGGTGTTGCAGACTTGTGGCATATTGATCTGACTGAGATGCGAACGTATTACAAGGAGAATAGTGGTTATCGTTATATATTATTTGTCATCGATTGGTATTTTGAATACATCTGGACCGAGTCGATAAGAAATGAAACCGGTTTGGAAGTTACACAGGCCATAGAGAGTGTATTGAAAAAGGCTGATTATTCACCGAAAAATGTGCAGACTGATCTCGGAAAGGAATTCTTTAACAGCAATTTTGCCGCATTGATGACTACAAATAAAATCAATCATTATTCCACATATAGCACGATGAAGGATGCAATCGTGGAGATAAGAACTCTAAAGAATTGGATTTATGAGGAATTTTCTGCCAGAAGTGGATACAAGTGGTGTGATGAATAACAACACTTAACTAATATGTATAATAACAGGGTACATAGAACAATCGGTATGAAACCGCAGACGTAACAGCTACTACAATACTACACGCCTATAGCTACCGAAAAATCGTGGCAAAGGCAAAATTTCGTGTTGGCGATGTGGTGCGTATAAGCAAGTATAAGGGTGTATTTGAGAAGGGCTTTACCGCAAATTTCTCGACTGAACTCTTCAAAATATCCAAAGTGGATGCTACCAATCCCAGAACTTACAAACTCGAAGATGTGGATGGAAGTTCGATCATTGGATCATTTTATGAATTGGAGTTATTGAAAAACTGCCAATCTAGACGCATACTTGGTAGAGAAAGTCTTGAAGGAGAAAGAAGGGAGAATATATGTTGAATGGCTTCGATTCTGTCTGTCTGTCTGTCTGTCTGTCTGTCTGTCTGTCTGTCTGTCTGTCTGTCTGTCTGTCTGTCTGTCTGTCTGTCTGTCTGTCTGTCTGTCTGTCTGTCTGTCTGTCTGTCTGTCTGTCTGTCTGTCTGTCTGTCTGTCTGTCTGTCTGTCTGTCTGTCTGTCTGTCTGTCTGTCTGTCTGTCTGTCTGTCTGTCTGTCTGTCTGTCTGTCTGTCTGTCTGTCTGTCTGTCTGTCTGTCTGTCTGTCTGTCTGTCTGTCTGTCTGTCTGTCTGTCTGTCTGTCTGTCTGTCTGTCTGTCTGTCTGTCTGTCTGTCTGTCTGTCTGTCTGTCTGTCTGTCTGTCTGTCTGTCTGTCTGTCTGTCTGTCTGTCTGTCTGTCTGTCTGTCTGTCTGTCTGTCTGTCTGTCTGTCTGTCTGTCTGTCTGTCTGTCTGTCTGTCTGTCTGTCTGTCTGTCTGTCTGTCTGTCTGTCTGTCTGTCTGTCTGTCTGTCTGTCTGTCTGTCTGTCTGTCTGTCTGTCTGTCTGTCTGTCTGTCTGTCTGTCTGTCTGTCTGTCTGTCTGTCTGTCTGTCTGTCTGTCTGTCTGTCTGTCTGTCTGTCTGTCTGTCTGTCTGTCTGTCTGTCTGTCTGTCTGTCTGTCTGTCTGTCTGTCTGTCTGTCTGTCTGTCTGTCTGTCTGTCTGTCTGTCTGTCTGTCTGTCTGTCTGTCTGTCTGTCTGTCTGTCTGTCTGTCTGTCTGTCTGTCTGTCTGTCTGTCTGTCTGTCTGTCTGTCTGTCTGTCTGTCTGTCTGTCTGTCTGTCTGTCTGTCTGTCTGTCTGTCTGTCTGTCTGTCTGTCTGTCTGTCTGTCTGTCTGTCTGTCTGTCTGTCTGTCTGTCTGTCTGTCTGTCTGTCTGTCTGTCTGTCTGTCTGTCTGTCTGTCTGTCTGTCTGTCTGTCTGTCTGTCTGTCTGTCTGTCTGTCTGTCTGTCTGTCTGTCTGTCTGTCTGTCTGTCTGTCTGTCTGTCTGTCTGTCTGTCTGTCTGTCTGTCTGTCTGTCTGTCTGTCTGTCTGTCTGTCTGTCTGTCTGTCTGTCTGTCTGTCTGTCTGTCTGTCTGTCTGTCTGTCTGTCTGTCTGTCTGTCTGTCTGTCTGTCTGTCTGTCTGTCTGTCTGTCTGTCTGTCTGTCTGTCTGTCTGTCTGTCTGTCTGTCTGTCTGTCTGTCTGTCTGTCTGTCTGTCTGTCTGTCTGTCTGTCTGTCTGTCTGTCTGTCTGTCTGTCTGTCTGTCTGTCTGTCTGTCTGTCTGTCTGTCTGTCTGTCTGTCTGTCTGTCTGTCTGTCTGTCTGTCTGTCTGTCTGTCTGTCTGTCTGTCTGTCTGTCTGTCTGTCTGTCTGTCTGTCTGTCTGTCTGTCTGTCTGTCTGTCTGTCTGTCTGTCTGTCTGTCTGTCTGTCTGTCTGTCTGTCTGTCTGTCTGTCTGTCTGTCTGTCTGTCTGTCTGTCTGTCTGTCTGTCTGTCTGTCTGTCTGTCTGTCTGTCTGTCTGTCTGTCTGTCTGTCTGTCTGTCTGTCTGTCTGTCTGTCTGTCTGTCTGTCTGTCTGTCTGTCTGTCTGTCTGTCTGTCTGTCTGTCTGTCTGTCTGTCTGTCTGTCTGTCTGTCTGTCTGTCTGTCTGTCTGTCTGTCTGTCTGTCTGTCTGTCTGTCTGTCTGTCTGTCTGTCTGTCTGTCTGTCTGTCTGTCTGTCTGTCTGTCTGTCTGTCTGTCTGTCTGTCTGTCTGTCTGTCTGTCTGTCTGTCTGTCTGTCTGTCTGTCTGTCTGTCTGTCTGTCTGTCTGTCTGTCTGTCTGTCTGTCTGTCTGTCTGTCTGTCTGTCTGTCTGTCTGTCTGTACTCTGTGTTAATCATAAATCGATATATCTCCGGAATCCTTTGACATATCGACTCGAAATTTTGCCATCTTATTGTACTCAAAAAAATATTATGTCATCAAAATATGAAGGAAATCGAAAAACTCTAAGGTAGTTTTTCCGGGTTTTTTCGATTTTTCACCGAAAGTTTCTCGCGACCACTCTACAAATCGCAAAAGTGGTCCGATCGATTTCATTTATTGTGAAAAATAACTCTATCGGGAAGAGAAGAAGCCTATTGGAATTGAGCAGGGTCGGGAAATTCCAAGTGGGTTTTTCAAGGAGATTTTCCGAAAAACACGGTTCGCTTTAAAACGACATATCTCCTGAACCAAAAGACTGAATCCAAATTTGAAAAATGCACCTTATGCCTTTTTGATGACGCAACAAATTATTATTCAACCATTTTTTCGTGCATCCATCAGAAAATGGAAAAACAAATGAAAATCAAAACATCCCAGGTAGCACATTATATTGGCTGGAACCCG